AGCGCTCTGTGCGAATACGTGGTAGCATATAGTCATGGCCACGTTGACGTAAAGATTAATATGTACGTTTGTTCGGTAAAAGATCTGTTAAACAATGTGTATCTGTAGCTGTGATTTTTTCCATAGTTGTTTATCCCTAATTTGAATTACATCACTGATGAATATACGCTCGTTGGCGTAGCCATATTTCCATGCTCGCTTGCAGAATTTATCGATCTTAGAGAGGTATTTACCACCATATGCACATGCCTATAGTTCAATTGCGTTTGTAAATACGGACATAATTAAGCTATGGAATAAGATCGTAAGCTCTTCTAAAGTGTACCCATAGCACTCACAAATTCTGAGGATATAGAGTCTTGAATTAGCCTTATCCACCATTTTATGAAAATGAGTGTCTCAGTTGCATGGATTTTCATGAGAAGTTACTCCCAATAATTTAAGTTCGCTCTTTCTGTCAATAATGGGCACAGTCCCAGGAGGATTTTGGGGGTCTTTCCTCTCATTACTACTTCCCACGTCTTAGTTAGCTTTAATTTCAAACGATTCATATTTGACCAAAGCTTAATGTTCTGAATTTCACTGACCGATAAGTCATCAGGCAAATTTGGCCCAACTGGAATACTCTAGGTTATATCGTCTGCAAACTTAATAAGCAGGTTTGTTTCCGGGTTCACAACATTTATGTCAATAACCATGATGGAAAATAACACTGGATCTAAGACGGTCCTCTGTCGAACACCCCCGTCGATTTCAACGAGCTTTGTTGTGACACCGTCGACCACAACTCTCAGTTTACGGTTACTCAAAAAATTGATCATCCTGTTAACAACATAAGGGTTGATATTATATAACTTGAGCTTATTACATAAAATCTGATGGGAAACAAAATCGAAAGCTTTACTAAAGTCGAAAGAATACACCTTAACAATGTCTGCGTCTTTTTCCAACCGGTTCAACTAATAATGTTGACATTTAAGAAGGGCCATTGTGGTATTATACCCCTTCTTATAGGCAAGCTGGTTAAGCCCAGTAGATGACTGCTGAGTAGTAGATATTTCTTGTTTGTAAACGAGCCTTTCAAAAATTCTCATGATTATGTTTGACCTCTCCTGTTAATAACTACAGCTGGTAGTACTTCTCATGCAATATCACTCTGGATTTTATCACATCAAACGTGAAGTTATTGTGTCTAGATAATCAAGTTAGTATTGGAGATAGCATAGCATTTTCAGAGTATTCACCGCGAGTGATATTTCAAAATTCATCAAAATATCACGGGCTGCGAAGCGCTGGGCACGTGATTTGGGAAGTTTTGAAATATAACAAGCAAGTTACGTTTCCACCACTTTGTCGTTGACTCTGGTGATGTGTTGTCTGCAAACAGCTTGTAATTCTACGCGTTGAAATAACGGATTAGGTTACTGGTACAATGGCAAAAAAGGGACCTTACAGCCCTTTAAGTTCAAGCCAAAAGTACAGTAAGAGGTACTGTATTTATTTACTATATATGTGAACTGATCACTACAGTTATCACAACCACATTTGGGTATAATATTTAAATACATATAGCAAAATGACGTTTTTATGTTTATTTTGGAAAGGAATATTTGAGCAATCTCGTGTAAAAGCCTTATTAAAAGGATTAGGATATGTTGTCCTTGAATTCAGAGGTACTTACAAGGACGAGGATTGAATGCAGCGTAAAATGCACCCATCTCAGAAACATGTAAAAATGTTGGTTGAATTGTTTTCCCTCCTGTAGCTAATTGTTTATTCCCTTTTTGCCTTCATTGTTTTCAGAGAGTAAGAAGGAGAAGAAAGAGAGAAAAGAGAAAAAAAAGAAGAGAGACTCGAAGGATTTAGAAACGTCCTCAAATGACTTCACCGTGGAAAACGAAGAAAAAGATGGATCCTCATCAAACTCAAAATCTGTGTTTGGAATGTTCAGACGAAGTGGACGGAAAGATAAAAGAAGTTCAAAACACGGCTCCTCGGACAGCTTGAAGAGACTAAGTGTTGATTCAACTGAATTTGGCGACAGGCGCTCTAGTGGTGTTTCGATCGATGAGTCAGCGAGTGTCAAAGTTTCAACACCTAGCACTGAAGTTGTTAAGGAAAATGAGAAGCCACAGACACAGAGGGACCAGCCTTCTGAAGTGGAAATTGTCAGTGCAGCTCATCCAGCTCCGGTGGAAAAAAAAGATTCTAAGAGACCTGATGTACCCCTAGCAGCAGAGATTCTCAAAACCGTAGATACTATGATGGCGAATAATGGGGAGGAGGAGGTTCAAACCAAAAAGGACGAGGAAGAATCAGTTATAACGCCAGATAATGATAAGGGAAGCCTAAAGCAAGAAGAACAAATTGCTGAAAAAAAACCAGAACCTGCAGTTGAGATGGAGAGTCAGTTGCAAGAGGCTAACACTAAAGAACATAAGCAAGAAGAATCAGTGAATGAACAGGTGTTAAAACCCGATAATCCTGATCAGGAAGTACTCCTGAAGATTGGAAATGGTCCTGCAGTAGAAAAAGAAGAAGTCCATTCTTTAAAAAAGGGGCAGCAGAAAGAAAATCAATTCCAAGTGCAAGTCGAAGAATTTCTTAAACTTGATGCTAAAGTCGGAGAAGTATCGACGCCAAAAGCTAAAAGTGAGGAGCAAAATGAGAAGGAGATTGGAAATGGTTCTGCAGTAGAAAAAGAAGAAGTCCATTCTTTGGAAAAAGGGCGGCAGAGAGAAAATCAAATCCAGTTGCAAGTCAAAGAATTTCTTAAACTCGATGCTAAAGTCGGAGAAATATCGACGCCAAAAGCTGAAAATGAGGAGCAAGAGGAAAAGGGAGAAAGGAAATCTGTTGAAGATTCAGAGCGAAGGTTTAACGTGATCCATAAAACGCCTCCATTTAAGGGGGAAGGCACCTTTACCACAAGCACCCCCAAGCGTGAATCAACCAAAAGAGCGCAGGTTGAAAAAAGTGGTGGCCCTGAAATTCAAGTCCAGTCGACTAATCGTGCAGTAAAAGGAGACAAACAAACATCCGTAGTGGAGTTTCACTTTGAAGCTCAAATCGGAAATGACATCAAAGATGCAAAGTTCTCTACAGAAGTACTCCTGGCCCAGTTGATGGAAGTTAACAAGAAACTTCGCATGTTGCAAGAAGAACTGCTTGAGTTTCGGAAATCAAACGGTAAATTGGCATAACTACAGAAACTCTCTAACTGATGCGACTCCTGATAAATGTAGGATGTATTTTTTTTTTTTAAGTTTAATGTTGTGTAACGCGGGAGAAAGGTTTGCTTTGTTCATTGCCTTTAGGTTCTTTTCTTTTAGCTTTGGAACAATTTTCCCAAACTGGCTCACTAAAATTGCAAGGTTTTTTTTAGAGTCTTCGTGCTTATTCTACCTGTTTTCATTTTTGGAACAAAAAGATAGTCTCAAGCAAGCAACAGCCTTTTGTAAAATTCCATATTCTTAGTAATCATCAGAATATTCTTGGCGGAAATTCATTTTTTAGCTGTTAGTCTGTGTAACGCTGGATCGGAAAACTACCCTGGTCAGGCTGGTCAATAAAAAGCAGTTCCTGCACTTTATTGCTTTATTGTAGTCCAGCCGTTGTATCTCTTTTAATCATCTTCTCTTACCTTCGTCATGCCTCATGTGGATTCCTGGTTCCATTAATCCAAATTCGTGAACAATCATTGATTCATTTCTTTTGAAATCAAATCAGAATATTAGAGAGTAAATTTATGAAGAAATGTAAGATCGTTAATCGACTTCAGGACCATAACCTGTATTTGGTCTGTGGCGAAACTCATTGCTAATAGGAGTAACTTGTTATCAATTATAGTTGGTAGGCCGCGCGGAATATTTAAGACTGCTTTGATGTTACCTTAAAAAAATTTTATTGAACCTACTCTGCAAAATACAAATTGAACTTTTAAATTGGAACTTGATTGAATCTTCTCAAAAGACACTGGTGAAAGACACCTGGCCGATTGACTCCATGACGCAATTGCCATCTCATTTCTTGCTAGAATCAAGACCGATTGTTCGAGGGAGATGAGATAACTTTGCGGAAAATAGATAACTGCTCGATGTTAAACCGGATTCTCGGAACAACCAAGTGTAAGACTCAACCATGAGAATTAAAAGTCAGATCTTAGTGTTCCTTTCAAACTTAGACTGGCGAGACAAGCACGAAAGAATTGTAAGAGTTCTTCTGGCAATGTAAAGAAACCAAATACCGAGCAGTTAACCATGCTACTACTATTCGACAGCTTATTGAGAAGGACAGTGAGGTCTACGGTGTTGAGGTGTTGCTCAGTTTATAATTTGGTATTGCAAGGAAAAATTCCGACAATGCTGTATAGCGGTGTCCTGAAATCCTAATTTGTACGTTGTTTTTGTGGTTAAAGCTCCGGTGGCGGTGAAACAAAACTATTTGCGTTAATGCGGTTTCGGTGTCAAGTGGACCTTTGTGCAATAATCCATGACCCTTGTCGACCAAATCTGAAGCGAACTTAGCTCATCCTATTGGCAAAATTTCCGAAAAATGAGTGTTACTATGCCAAGGAGAATTTGAAACAAGGTTTGCGCACTCAGTCTGCATATTAAGAAAGAAAGATATGATATGTAAGCAAGGCGAACCCATCAAACGGTTCCAACCAAGGCGATCAGCAAAATTTTCGACCTAATTAATTCACAATACTTGAAAGTATGTTATAAAGCTTTGTTACCTTTTCAGTTGTGTTTGTCAATCGTGTGACTGGGTATTCGGTGGATTCGGAGTTTCCTAAACTTTTCGTGCGGTAAAGCCGGGCGGTTATTTTTAGATAATTTTTGCCGTCTTGTGGTATTCAGAATTCTGCAACGACTCCTACTAATTAAAAGCGTGACTTCGCTCCTTTTAAACGATTAAGAGTCACCGTAACTCAATATTTTTAATCTCTCAGCGTTTTCAAAGTGACATTCCTTTGAAAGAAAGTGAGAATGTATCTTTTTTTTATCCAATTCAAAAGATTTTCTAGATAAGTTTGGGCATTCAAATTAATTATCGCCTTCCTAATTACTGTGCCTCTGGCAGCGAGGTTGACCTACCAATTTGGCGGCTCCGTTGGACGACTGCTCTATTATCACGTTAATCGTTAACAAATAAACACAATTTGAAATGCTAAGTAACTGCGGGAACGACTAACATTTTTACTTGCAGACGTAAACACAGAGAAGGATGTCTTATTCGTTTGGGCATTTTGCCATCTATCCAAGGAAGTGGAGGAAAATTTAACTTATTGTTTCTCTGTTGAGCCATTTGAGTTTCAACATTCTTTGTTAGGTGAGTGCAGTTATCATTTCTGTATTCACCGGATAAATTCCCCAGACTTGAGACTTGTTCGCTTACATTTAGCTTTTAGTCCAGACTTAAAATTGTAAATCTGTCGGCAGCAAAGCGTATGACGAGGTATGGTCCTTCGAATTTTATCTTAGTAAGGGGCTTGAAAAAATGACAGCTCGTTCTGTTTTAGCAGAGGGTCATCTTGACGGTTTTTGTGCTGTATCTGAACTCCATAGAAAACCTCAAGTTAATTTAGGTATTTCAAAGCGAACTTACATCTTGGTGGAATAGGCACTCTTATATATTGACAATACGGGGACAGGGTATATTTTGTCCGACTTAAGCCTCAGAAGTAGGCAATGTTTCCCTTTTTGTAGCATCGATTTCACTTCATAGCATTTTTTTTTTTTTTTACAAGGCTCAGTTCCTAAAATTGCCTGAGAAACTTCTATTTTTAACTAAAAACCTCACAACATTCCGGTCTTTCCAGATATCGTTTGCCAAAACAGAGATTGCAAGAGAATCACGTGTTTCTTGGTCACATCAAAGACTCGTGAATTTACGAAACCGCGGTGTAATATTACGTCCTGCGCTACTGAGGGTCAAATATTTATCCTTCTGACTTATATCGGTTGTTTGGCCTTTCCCTTCCCAGCGAAATGGATGCTAGGGACTGCACTGTGTTAGAGCGACATTTCTCGAGACTTCAACAATGTCTCGAACCTTCAAAACTTTTGCGTCATCTTGAAACTGTCGGTGTTATCGATGAAGACGACGTGGAGACCATTCGCGAAGAGAAAAAGAAAACGTCGAGGGAAAACCAAGTGACAGTGTTTGTTGACATTATTAAAAGACGAGAGAACGGCCTCAGACATTTACTTCAGGCTTTGTTGAAATCTAAAGTGCAAGATTTCTTGGCGAGAGAGCTTCTTGAAGATGATGTCTATGATGAAGAAGGTATATACGTTGTTCTGTTAAACTTACATTTATTGACAGTATTTCTGTCTGCTTTTTCACAGCTGCGTTGCGTTACTTTTTTCTAATTGCCTTTTTGTTTCTAAATCTGGAAATTATCCTACTTTATTTCTAAAACGTGACACGGACTTCATGTGGAAATTGAATGCTAGTACATTATGAACTACAAAAGCAGCTGTTTCATCTTTATATTTCTCTCCTGTTTACTTGCTCTTATCAATATATTCTTTGTACGAGAATTTAAATAGATTCGTCTTGCAAGCTGCGTGTTGAAACTTGTGGTGAAGCCCAACTTGAATCACTTCATCGTCGGCAATTATTAGCACTCATATTCCAAGTCCTTTCAATGACTGTGTATATTCCACTGCAAAATTGGCATAAATTAACTCTATCCGGCGATATCGTGTAAGTTGCGCGTTCTGGGTTCATATTATGACTATCAGACGAGAATCGGAGCAGATATTTCGTCGATCTTTCTATTACCCGCTTGATGCTGTGGACAACTTCCTTAACCCGTCAACAACAATCAGAGCTTAGCACTTATTTTTAAAAATCCACATTTAAGTTTGCGATAATATAAAGCTGGTTAATTCGTATTCCATTGATAACACACCTCCATTAGCGGGAACGACATTGCACATAACAACAATGTCTTCTTTGCTTAGATCCCTCAATTTTAACCAATGAATAATTTTTAAAAAACCGATATATAAAGAAAGAGTTCACGTTAACACTCGTCAGTAACCAAGCATAAGCCAGCTTTGATGCGGGGTGAGTTTCTGATGAAACCGTAATGTAAAGTTAACGATGTGTCGGTGGGGGGTTATTACATGATAACTTGTTATTGTCAACTGAGTCGATAATGCAAGGCGAGTTGGCCAAATTTTTTTTCTAACAAAAGAGTTTCTAATTAAAAACCAACGTTTCCAACGTTCGCTAATCGTCAGTGCAAAAGAACACGGGAAGGGGTCGAAACTTCAGCCTTCAAAAAAACTTCTGTGGCCAATTCAAATTATCAACACAGTTGATAAAACCATGTTATAGGCCAGCCTAATCGTGTTGAGGTCATAGTAGCCTAAAGCGGCCTGTCAATAATGAGTTCGCTTGTCAGCGTTTGTTGGTCGAAATCTGAAGAACGCGGAAAGTTTGGAGACCACCAAAGATGCGTAAGAGTTGCTGGAGGCGTAGCCAAGAGCAATCCTAGTTTCTTGAGTGCTCTTCTCGAGTGCTACATATTTCGATGAATACACAGCTCACGTATGAACTAATTTGTTTAAAAATTTTAGAATTTTTTTTTTCATATATTAATATTTATTGTCACAGTCTTTGGTAAATCTTTATCAATCGTCTGTTTTTTAAAAAGAAGCTCTAATGAAGAAAAAATTCGTTGACAACCCATTACTAACCTGGGAAAGAAAAAAGTAGATGCTCTTTTGGTTTTCCTCATAAACCAAGATTTCATTTAATTTTTCACTCGTGTATAACATTACTTGAAGACCGGATTTTAAGTCAAAAAAACATGTGCAAATTTTGCCGGATCGCTAGATTATAACGTTCTACCCGAAAACTGTGGATAAAAGGCTGTACAGGAATGACCAAGAAATCTCTTTCTCTCAAAAGATTTATTCTAGGAGGTCCTAGAAGTCCCGTCAGAAGCGAAAAAACGCACGAGTTTCTCCGGTTTATGGAGCCCACGTATTATATTCACCATGCCGAAATCGATGTTTGACTTTATGGTCAGAAGATTGCGTAACGCTGTGTTGAAATTTCTGAAAGGTCTTAAATTTTACACAAAATCCTTTACGGAAATAAAAAAATAATAATTTAACAGGCCAAATAATTTTCCAAATGTCGCACAAGCCTCAACTAATCGAAGGCAGTAAGGTCAGTTTTCATTTTTAGCCATAACCCTGATTGCTCTCAGGGTTATGGTTAAAAGTCAGGCTTTTTAACTCGAAACGGCCACTTTCGTCGATATTGGGGCTTAGATGAACATTATTTTCTAGCTCGAGAATCATTTAGCATTTTGACTTTTTTTTAGAGCTCCAAAAGGTCAATTTCGACTTATAAGGAATGAGAAAAGCGTGAAGAAATTTTTAAAACACGCAACTCAAATAGACGGGTAATTTGCAGCAAAATACAACTACATATGCCACGTTAAGAGCGCAATGCCTTACTTACGATATGAGAGATTTAGACTATGGTGGCTTTATTAACAAATAGAGAAGCCTTGACTGTGCTTTTTTCTGTTGTAAAGAACTGAGGAAGCGGCTTGAGCACTTAAGAAGAGTAGGGAGAAGCACGAGACGTAGTAAAACAAATAACATAATCAATCAAGCCCTCCGCTCAGGAGTTATAAATTTCACCGTAGTCGTTCTCTGACCTTTCAGTCTGGTGGGGGCAGGGAAAAGAGGAGGATGCTTAAGAGGGTATAAAGTGTGAGTTGACATAAATGTATGAATGAGGTGATTGGAAGGAGAATTATTCAGGTTACCCACGGCAGTGATTTTAGTTTCTAACATGTATACTTGATACACATCCAATCGATTTAATTTTTCAGAAATCAGCAGTATATTGATGGAACTGGAAAACGACTTGGATGAGACTCAATCCTTGAAATTGAGCCTTATTGAAGAGCAAAAACGGCACAAAAACACTAAGAGGGAGTTGGAGGAGATCAGGAGAAGCTCCATCGTGTTCAGTGACTCTAGCAGCTCGGGTCTGTTCGCTGATTATGATTCTGCTCCGAGCGACGGCGAGGAATTTTGTGACTACTCACCCAGAGAGGAGAATGAAAACACGCTAAGTCTGAACGAAGACCATTCCGCATCGATTTTTGATCAAGATCAGACTAAGTTCCTAGACCCGGTATCTCAATCAGCGGCGATAAATGACGATTTAGAATGGGAGCATGAAGATGGCTGGCGAAAGTTTGGGAGCCTTGATAACCTAGACTCTCTGACTCGAAAAAATTCTGAAGGAGGTTCGACTATTAAGCTGCGGAAAAGCTCCTCCATGGGAAAATTGAACAGTGATGGTCGAGGGAGGTACGTGGACGAACGTAGACGCTCTGGACATGCTAGGTGGTGCAGCGACGAGAGCCTTGAGGGCAGCAAAAAATTGTCAAATTCGCTACACAGACGACCAAGCGACGATGGAAAAATGGACCTCCTTGAGAGCAAAGTGGCTCTTCTGGAAAAAAGGCTTCGAGATGAGCAGCGGAAGCGTCAGATTTCCGAAAATGAAGTTGCCAAGTTGCAAGTAGAGAAGGAGAATCTGTTCGAGGAACTCGAAGATACTCGAGACCAGCTACATGTAAGACTCAGCCAACTGAATCTGTTCTGCGCTGATGACGATTGCTATGAAGGAGAGCTACATTTCGAGCAAAGTGAAAATGTCGACGATTTTTCAGAGGCACGAAAGGTGGACTATGAAACTAGTTCCATGGAAAGACCTATCCAAGTGCCAACCGGAATTGCGGAGACCGCTTCCCGGAGCAGCTCACCTGGCGTTGATAAGCTTCGTACCCAGTCTGAGCAAATGAGAAGAACACGTCTGACGGGAAGTTGGAGAACAGTGAATGCTCAGTTTTACGAGCTGGACGAATACGATGATGAGATTAAGGTCGAAATGGATCCAAGTAATATTATGGACACATTGCGCAGACTCAAAACGCACAATAACTGTTTGTATAACGATATATTGTATGAAAGAGATGAGCTTAAGAGTCTGAGAAAAAGAGCGTCAAGACTAGAATCACTCTAATGATTAAGATGTAGTATTCAAGTAGGAATGCATAAACTTCGCCTGCTTGCCTGTCACCAACGACAGAATAACCATCTGTAGACTGAAAGCGAATTCCTCAGATGAAGTGAAAAACGATTATGATTTAAAGAACACTAAACAATGTCCGCTTATACCAAGCAAACGATTCGGTATTCCATTTTTAAATCCGAGCTAGAAAGTTAAAAAAGTAAAATCTCTCCGTCGATTAGTTACGAACAGTTCCCAGTCAAGCAATTCAATACGTAAGAAATTGTATTTGATCACATGATTATTTATCAACTTTCTGGTGGTACTCGTAAAGGATATTTCACTACTCCAGCTTTGATCTTTCATTTTCGGTTGTTGAAGCTCCTGAGGAAAAAAATTATTGGCATAAATCTTTAAAGATGAGTTTTGTTTCATTCAATCTTGAATTAAAGGGCTTGTGTTAGAATGGGACAAGAAATGTGAGTACATAAGTATATTTATTTTATCTAGAGACTTTTTTCACTCAAAAACTCAGGTTAGGTGTCTCTATGAATTGTAATGTGTAAGACTAGGCTAAAAACAGCAATGTCGTGGAATTCGTGTTTTTGTTATTGTTTTTTGTTTTCTTTCGAAATGAAAAATACCAAAAGGAAGGACATTCAGCGAAAAGTACCAAGGTATGAAATGGTGGGGGAAGGGGGGGGATGGATGGGTCAGTTAGTAGACTTGGAAATGATCTTTATTTGCGTGTGAATGCAAATTCATTTTTAACTGTAACACACACCCCTACAACCTTTTTCGGAGACAGAGGCTTGCGGCTTCTGAGAATTGGCTTACAGCAAATGACAAGCATTCAAAATTTCGTCCACAAAAGTTTATTTTTTTCTTATTATTATTTTATTATAATTATTATTTTTCACAGACCTTATTTTAAATAGCACTCGGCTTCATGCTTCTACTAAGGATTTATCAATGGTTTAAATACAACCAAATAGATATGGCGCTATCAAGCCATTACCAAAAATGAATGTTTACATTTATCAGTTAAATAGTTTTTACAGATTCCTCAAAATACCGTAATGCGTTCTTTTTGCGAAGAAAATAATTAATGAACCTTGATCTTTCACTGTTTAAATTATATCGGTGATAAATATCCCCTGTAATCCTTTTTGCTGTGTTGTTGTTTGTTTGTTTACGTGTTTGTTTCTCACAATATATGTATCAAAGTATACTGATAAAGCTTCCAGCGTTACAACACTACCCTCGTAAAGTATAAAAAACCCGTAATCCGAGGGGTAATTACAGAATCCTAAGCATTGAACTACATTTAATGATGGAAAACTATTATAAATACTTATTGACGAATGTGTCTTTAAATTCTTTCCCTAAAACACACTAAAAGAAAATAGCTTCTATCAATTTCTTACCATATGTTGACAATGCCTGGACACTGAACTATTCTAGGAAACCTCTTTACATCTTGGCTCTACATTTCAAACCATAGGCCGTGTTCTACAAACATAAAAACAACAACAACAACAACAACAGCCTAAATAACATTTGAGTAAAGAATTTATACAGAACGGATGAACTGTCACGCTTTTCTGCTATGGAACGTCATTTCTCATGGTGTCCTACAGTGTTTAGTTTTGTTTGTTTATATGCTTGTTTGTTTCTCACAATACATATACCAGTGTATACTGATAAGGCTTCTAGCGTTACAACGCTACTCTCGTAAACTATTAAAAAAACCCGTAATCTGAAGGGGGTGATTGCAGAATCCTAAGCATTTAACTACATTAAATGATGGAAAGCTATGGTAAATACGTATTGACAAATGCTTCTTTAAATTCTTTCCCCAAAACTAACTAAAAGAAAACAGCTGCTATCAATTCCTTACTATATGTTGACAATGCCTGGACACTGAACAATTCTAGGAAACCTGCCTACATCTTGGTTCTACATTTCAAACCATGGGCCGTGTTCTACAAACATAAAAACAACAACGACAACGACAACAACCTAAATAACATTTTAGTAAAAATATACACAGAACGGATGAACTGTCACGCTTTTCTGCTATGGAACGTCATTTCTTATGGTGTCCTACAGTGTTTAGTTTTGCCAATTTACATATCAAAAGGGCTGCATCAAAAAATCATTCTCAATCATTCCTGTCTAAAAATGTTTTCGTATACTCACATGCACAGAGCACGAGTTAACAATCTTTGCGAAAGTCTTTAAGCTAATGAAATTTCATCGTTTTTTTCAGGTACGGCCTCAATCCCTGTGCGATATCATTCCTTCCAATCTTCTCCAGGTTATTGATAACATGATAAAGAGGTAAATCGGGGTGTATCGCCTTCAAATGGTCCATTAATTCATGAGAGGGACTACCGTTACGTTGGAACGCATTTTTCAAAGATCTCACGATTGTGGATGGAATGTTGTACCGGAAAGCTAGTCTTTCAAAGTTCCATCGGCCTCTTTGCATGGTTTCAAGCTCATCACACATCAAGTCGAACACGTCATGGTGATTTTCTTCCAGCTTTTCGAGGGTCACATCCTCTAGAAGAAATCCAGTTTGGTGATGATTATTTGAATTGCTCAAACCGAAACAACCCTATTTCCAATAACTACAGTTCCCATAACGAAATACCCTACCAAATCTGATAAGGGTGACATTTGAGCAATAGGGAACTATGCTATGTTTTCATAAAATGAAAAAATCTAGTCTAAACTGCTAAAACCCTGTTCACATACTCTCGTCTAAACGCACCTATTTACAAATTAGAGCGCGAGGAGTTTTTGAAATATTTCATAAAATGAAATTAAGTAATCAACGACTACCGCTGAACTTACCTGGGCTAACTGCGTATTCAACATGTGCAGGCGCGTCGGACCGTGAAGGCGGTAACGATGCTGAATCTTGAGATTGTGGTATTGGAAGCCCACTTCCATCGGACGACTCACACCAGTTGTGAAGAAGTGTCATTGATCCACTTGATTGAATAAAAACGGGATGCAGAGAAGGTGATATGGATTCATTGGATTGTGAAGCTGCATTGATTTTGGGAGAGATTTTTTCAATACTCGTCGATTCCTGCTCCCCGGAAGGCTTCAGTGTATTTCTTGGTCTGCCGCATTTCGTAATAACGATCGCGACGAAAATTCCCAAAGAAACTACGACTGCAACTGCAAGCAGAATTATTCCGATCTTTCCTATGTCTGTCGGCGCGTCGTTATCAACCACCTGAGTTGACATTATTGACGACTTAGTTTCTTTCAGGACAATTGAACTTGTTGGTTGATGTGTTGACACAATGCTTGGAGGAGGCGTGGGTTTTGTCAGTCTGAGCGTTGATTTGGTGGACCTGATTTGTTTGTTGCACGGTGTGGACCGAACTTTGCACTTGTGTTTGTAACTACTGCATTCGCTTTCAACTAAGTCTTTTTCATCTCCACAACACTCTGAACAAGGGTCACATGAAAACGACAAAGGTTTATAGTAATATCCTTCTTTGCACCTGCTACACTTGCTGTTTGACTGAAGGGTGCAGTTCTTCAATATTGCTTTCCCTGTCGAGCATACCGTGCAGGGCTTGCAATGAGCCTTGTCGTATTTGTCAGAGTATGTTTTGCCAAGATGACATGGAACACAGTGAATATCGGTCCAATTTTCAATTTTGGTTCCACATGGTACCGAAGGCTCTGATCCAGCCGGACAGGAGGGGCAGTCCAAGCATTGATATCCTGCCTTTCCAGCGGCGTTGGTCCAAATTATTTGTTCCGGTTTACACAAGAAATTTGCTCCAATGGGACAAACCTATTGACGAAAGAATGACACATTGAGAAAAAAGCTTGTTTTTGCATTTGATTACCAAAACCTCCTGCTTGTTTTAGTTAAATGAGCTGATAAATAGTGTTGCAGTTGAAGACGAATTAAGACATTTATTCCATCCATTTTGAAATCACTGGTGAGCCATGACTGACTTTGAGCGGTACAATTTGTTCACAAATCGCACCATATTTTGCTCTAAATAGCATCTTTTTCCCAATAAATGAAAAAGCAGCTAAAACAAAATAACTAATCAAATTATAGGAAAATGAAAGACAAAGATACCATTGCGGGGCGAATTTTAGCAAATTTTGTCCTCAAAACTAAACAACAAAAAACCCTGTATTTGGCCGATTGAATTTTGCAATTTCCAAATGAATGTAATGAAGTGATAATCAAGGTATGTGTCGAGCAATTTGATCTGAAATCGTACTTGTGAATTAAAATTTCACGCGTATAATTCCAGACCTAATAATATACATGGAAAAATTACTCAGTTCTGATTGGTTAAGATAAATGCAGTTTTCAGGTAATTCAATGCAGAAGAGTTAATTCAGTGCAGAAGAGGGTTGATTCAGTGCAAAGAAAGTGAGTTTCTGTGAGTTTCTTTTCCACGTAATCACATCATTTTTTTGCGCAATTTGTAATAAACAAGCACTTGTTAATTTTTCAAAGATCACAAATTTGTTAGCCTTTAAAAAAATTTACTCGTGCTTATTAATTGCTAATTGCACTCGAAATCATGTGATTACCTATACAAATTGCACTCTACTCAGTCCAATTACCATTATTAATCTAACGGTGTGATTTCATCATATGGTAAAAAAGCTTATTACCTGAGTTAAAATGTTTCCTGGACACATTTCCTTTTTTATGGATAGGTCTACATTTTTCATCAATGATGTTCAAGAACGCTTGAATCACGTAAAATGTGGTACATCAGTTGTGTTCTTTTTACGAAGTATGACTCTCCCTAGATATTGTGGATATGAAAACTTCATTCCATAAGAAAAGGAATTGATTTGATCTTCTAATTTATTTGAACGAGGAGCAAACTCAGCCTGACCTACGTTCATGTGGAATTTTCTATCAACTCACTCACTCTTAGTGAAATTGTATAATATGGTCTATAAAGTTTGAATTTGTATCGTATCCCTTACATTTTCATAAACTATTTGTGATAGAAGGTACATTGGTCGGTTGACACCTGTACATCAATGTTGAATTGCATGATGGGAGGTAAATGAAAAACAACTTGAAGTACTTTGACCTTTTGTTATGAAATCACTTGAGTAGGCAAATTGACACCTGCTGTCACATTCGGTTATGTGAATAATTTTAGGTATTTTTTGAGAACGCCAGAAACACACAACTTTCAGTGTACTTTATTTAAGCTCACATGATATCAATGCAATAGTTAATGCTCCATACAGACCATTGAAATGAGGAATTACTTATTACCTAGTTTTGAAAACTGAAAGTTTCAGGCGTCAGAAATTTATCAGGGAGTGTTTTCAGGAAATCCGTTTACTGTAGACAGACGATATCATGGCTTTCCAAATTACGTCATTAGTTGTGGTTGATTTTGGCATCAACGAAAAACAGCCTTCTAGTGTATTAAGATGAAACTCTATCAAAAATGAATTTCCCAGTTGAATCTTTTTGACTGAATTATTTGCCGGTGTTCCGTTGTGAAAATGGTGTGACCACCAAATAGCAAGTGTACGTATAAAACGGCTCACATCCAACGATTCACCACTATTTTTGTCACGAAGCTTCGTGCTTTAGTCAGTAAAGCAAACAACGTAAAGAAAGAAACCTTCGCCAAAGGCACATCTCCGTTCTTTACTCTACTCACTCATTAAGTTGACGACCAAATTCGAGAGGCAGACTGCGTTTACAGTTTTTGTTAGATTTGGATAAACTTGCCGAACAAGCCAAAATGAACGATGGTAAATTGAGTCGTTAAGCCCCTTTCACGAGTTAATAACAAGGGTCACACATGAGTCAAAATACCCTATCGAAGTATAAAAATATTACTTTTTGTCGTCATTTCAGTCGTAAGCCATTCGATTCGGCCTAGACAGCACACAACCGGTCGTTATTTATAACAGCCAGTTACGGCGCAGATGATCATTTTCCTTAAAAGTTCGTAGAGTCGAAAGGTAGACCACGAGCAGCTTTTGGTTACAGAATTCAAAATTTTCGAGCACACCGTAATGAAAACTAGAGCGACGACAGAGAAGGAACCTGGTAAGCTATATTGCATTAAAATGATATACATTAAAGACAAACTACAGCAAGTAGATATTAAACTCCAGTAAGTGTCCCAAGATTAATCCCTTTTGCCATTCAACGTGGCTCTCAATTAGATGATTATAAACGAAAATCACCTCTTATGAAAACATATAGAAGGACAAGCATCGACATTCAATCAAACAAATTCGAAATAAAACCATAGTCTAACGAAAACAGTACAATTTACCAGTTCCAGCGGCCCGGAATGGAATTATGTGGCGAAGCACTATTTCCCGTGATCTATGATGTGATGAGTAAGCACAAATAGGCCATCCCTAAATAATATTTTGAAAATTCGCTTCGAAAGCGCAAACTACAAAACGTTCCATAGAACCGTGGTCTCTGAGTTAATTGTCTAATAAGATAAAGCTTATGATCCATGTACTCACCAGCATAAAGAGCCACAGCGCAGCAACGATGTCCTTTCTTGTCATCATGGTACAGACAGAGTGGTGCAATCCTGTCGAAGTAAACTTCGTTGAGCTTAGTTCCAGTAGACGAGAAGATTGTTGTCCCATCTGCACAGTACTTGCCTGCAGAAAGCTCCCTTTAGTTCAGCGATTTTTACCAAGTAAACGGCACTGGACCAATTTCGGAACACTATAAAAGCACTTGAATATTAGATGGCTACTAGCTACTGAGTAAAGCTTATAACTTGCTGATATAAGCTTAAAAATGCCATACTAGACGAACATTGTCTGGGTTTTTCCCCTAAGGAAATGTAAGGAACCGATTAGTTTTCAGCACGTCACTAAAAGTGATACTCGTTTCGTCACGAAATCTAAAGCACCCACGAATTGCACTAGCGCCAAAAAAAGCTTTACATTCGCGTCCTCTAGGGAGGAAAGAGAAGGAATGCTGGGTATGTGGACTGGTTCCAATAGCTAGCTCTAATGTCAGTTATTCCAGACCTAGACCTCGTTTCCTAATATTTTTTTTTTTTTTCATATTCATACAGATACCTCACTCATAGACTGAAGCTGGGAGATGGGCCCAAATGAAATTGACCCTAACATAGTTACAGCCTAGTTATTTGCTCGTGCGTGATCGTATGTAACTTTTTTCCTTCAACGTAGTTAATAAGTTCCGTTTGTCTAAAAATAGCGGTTACGGAAACTAGGAAATGACATTATTCCAAGGACTCATCAATTCAAATCTCTCTATTAAATTTAACATACCGAATGGGGTTTTTCAAAATTGGTTAACCTTCTTAGCCATACATTTTGTTTCGATCTAGTTCCTTTACATGTTTCTATATATTGTAACATTAACTTGTAATAGCATCTACAAAAAAAAGTCGCCACTAGAAAGGCATTCGGCTCCTTTTTTGGGGGGGAGGGGTAGAGAGGTGAGGCTCAGTAATTTCATTTTTTTTTTTCAAGAATAGAGTTGAAAATATGTGGAATGATTAACATGATGAACACAATTAAGCAGTAGTTGAATAACAACTTTAATATTCCTGAAAATAAGACACGCGTGGTTTAAGCATTTTAGAAATCAGTATATCAGTAGTACTAGTCCTATAATTTGAATTAAGGCTATAGTCAAGAAAGTGTAGCAGTGGGTAAATAACCGCAAATCTCGAATTCATCTCTAAACCCAACAGCGTTTATTTTCTATAAATGAGCTTTACAGTTTGCACGACTGGAAGTACACGCAAGTACGAAGCAAAAAGCAGTAGAAGTAGAAGCAAAAATCTCACAAGAACTGTAACAAGAGACCCCCACAAAGGGCTCCCATTACAAAGTCTAAAGTTGCGAAATCCTACAAGCGACTTTATTGTCACGCAATTCTAAGACACAAAAGTCCTAGTTCACTCTGTTACAAAAGGGACAAAACTTTTTTATTCAAATTGAAGTCAATATAAAGAAAATTTTGTCCATAAAAAATTTAGACTTGTGACATTACATAAAAAGCAAACCTCAAGACAATCTTATCATATGCTAAGACGAGATCGCATTTTTTTAAATCAAGTCAAATTCTTTCTCATTACAAGCCCTATAGATCAAATTGAAGTGAAGACGATAATGTTATTCAGAGGGGTAAAAGCATATTTTCGTTATCGCCTTGCATAAATGCGCACTTTGAAAGAAATATTCACTGAATTGCGGTTAAAAAAAGTATTTTCTCTGGCTTTCAGTGGAAACTATCTCTATTACGAGACGATTACCGATAATGCTATAGTGAGCCACCATCTTAAACGTCAAGTATACAACAAGCTACCTCCTTCTCTATCAAACCCTTCTTTTCCCTTTTCCCGCTTCCCCCTCCCCCCTTTCCGGTAAAAATGATTTTTGTATAGGCAGGTCAGATAGCGTTGCAATAACAAAAAAAATATGACTCATATTGGAAAGTTCCTATATTCAGTATCGTAAGCACTTAACCAAGTAAATGCAGTAACTGAATGTGTACATAAATTTTGGTAATAAAGCAGAAGAAAATTTTAATCTGCATTTTTGTCTCAGAAAGTTTATCTGTGAGCCCAAAAAGTTACATACACCTCAAGCTTATTAGACTAGTTACGGTAACAGCATCCCCCGGGCAGCCAACAGGTATTTGATTGCTCTCTGTGCCGGGAGGAGGGGAATTTGAACCTTGCCTGGATGGAATTAGGCGTTTGAACCGGAAATGTCAAATCTCTCCGGCGTTATAGACGTGTTTCAAGAATGTAAAGGTAAAGAGTCTGCTTTCGCAAGCAAATGGCTTAGAAAGACAATTTTTACATCACAGATTGATGCTTACAAGCGAAAAATTCAACAGCAACACCAAACACCGACTTAGCTAGATTCTACAACATTGGGTGCGACATTTGAACGCAATTTTGGCCGGGGGGGGGCTGATCTAACTAATCTTTGAATTTAGTTCAAACGCCCTGGGGGCTGCTCGGGGGGATGTTGAAGCTTCCATTTGATCGACGCATCAATTAGTAAGTTAGTCTTACTCTAGCAATTAACACGAGGTGAGCGATCTGGTGTTGGTGATCTGTCATCGTTTCCAAACACGTGTGGCTTTAATCCCTCCGCTATATCTTTCCGCCCGATTTTTTCCAGGTCTTCAATAAGTTGATAAATGGGCAGATTTGGGTGTTCAGCCTTAATATGAGCCATCAAAGCCTGAGAAGGACTACCTCTGTGGAACTCTTGTTTCAAAGATTCACGAGCTGTGAGCGAAATTTTGTAGCATGAAGCCAACTTTTCAAAGTCATATCGCATACCTGATCTTTTTTCATCAAGTTTCATGCACATCCATTCAAACGTTTCTACATGATTTTCATCCAGCTTTTCAAGAGTCATACCACCTAAGAACCAAAATAAATATTGTAAGTACAGTCAAGTCATTGTGACACAACAGTATGAATATTAAACCTCTTGCACGGGAACGGTTACTTCCTTAACACCACCGGAGAAGAGATGTTAATTATAGTCTTTTCTGAATGTTTCAAAGCAAAGGTTATGAGATTAAAAACTGCTTCCTCTGGTCAAATTTTAAGGGGAAGATACAGATGGTACTGCATCGTTGTAAATGTCCACCTATGAGTCGAGCTTAACTTTCCGGAGAATAGAAAGAAAAGCATAACAAAACACAACGGTTTTACTCCCGATTAACTTACCAGTCGTTGATGTACATGTGTATTCAGCTTGTATAGGTGAGCAGGAATCAGTTGCCTGTGAAGATGCACATCTTCTATTCTGAGATGGTAATTGTGTAGGACAGGACAAAATAGAACAAGGATTGCCTTTGGGTGAATCACGGTGATCTAGATGAGATGATTCAGGCCTTCTAAACTGAGCTGATTGACAGGCACTGGTCAAAGAAGACGCACCTTGGTTGGGTTCGGATGAATTGGAAGGGTTTGGAGTAGGTGCCTCTTTCGACAGACCTACTAGAGGTGATGACCCAGTTGCCTCAGATGAATCAGTCAAGGTGTGAAGAGATGACGTAGATCCACTTGCTTGAGTTGCTTCAGACTGAAGAGGACGATGGGGTTCCGGACGGTTTGGAAGAGAGGATTCAGACCCATCTTGGAGTAGTGATGCTGGTTCACTTAACAAAGATATTCCAGACTCAATCAGTGCATCTGCTGCTAATTCATTTTGCTGGTGTTGTGTAAACGAATTATGATTAGAGAGTGCAGCTGGATGGAGAAGAGGAGATGCAGAGCCACGGGACTGGGACTGATTAGACACAAACCGTATTCTTCCGTGAGAAGAATAATTCTCAATATCACTCGAATCCACCTCTCTTGGATGCCTCAGTGTTAGTCGTAGTCTAATTGGTTTCTTAAGAACAATCAAGACAATAATTACTATGGAAAGCAAAGCAATTACCGCAAACGAGATTATTGCGAGCGGAATCTCAGTTCCAGTAGCATTTCCAGACTCTCGTTCTTCTTCTGAGACCTTATAGTCAACCTGAGTTGGTTTCAACGACGACTTCAACTCATTAAAAGGTAAGCCTTTCTCTTCTTTGTGTCCCGTCGTTGTTTTGTTATACATATCAGTTAGATGTGTCTCCTGAGTTGTTGGCAAAGTTCCAGTGGGTGTTGTTGTTCCCAAAAGAGTTGTCCGGGTGTGGCTGCAGGGCGTGGGTCGAACTTGGCATTTGTGATCGTAGCGTTCGCATTCTTTGGCGAACTCGTCATTTCCATCGCTACAACATTCCACACAAGGCTTGCAAGCAAATGAAAAAGACTCATAGTAATATCCGTTTCTGCATCTACTGCACTTACTGTTTGAGACGCGAGTGCAGTTCTTGAGTACTGCCTTCCCTGTCGAGCATACGGAACAAGCTGCGCACTGAGCTTTATCATAATTGTCAGAAAATGCTTTTCCAAGTGGGCATGGAACACAGTGAATGGCTGTCCAGTTTTCGATAGTGGATCCACATGGAACAGAAGGCTGCGATCCGGGGGGACATGTGGGACAGTCTAAACATTGATATCCCACCTTTCCGGTATAAGTCAACAGTATCTGATCTGGCTTGCACAGGACATCTGCTCCAGTCCTACAAAGCTGTTAAAGAAAAAAGAATAAAGATCAACCTGTCTCTCAAAACAGATAGTTATAAAAAGATATATGCCCACTTTCATAAAATAAAGATTGAAAGTTACAATTAATATAATTGTTACGAAAAATTGTCTAAATTAAAGTCCTCGAACATTCTATAGAACAGTCTAGAACCCGAAGTCATCCAGCGGTGACCTTCTTATATAAGAACATTCTGGAACGTTCTATTTCTTATGTAATTACTCAGGTTTAGAAACCGTGTTAATCTTCTTAAGAACGTTCTATTTCTTATGTAATTACTCGGGTTTAGAAACCGTGTTAATCTTCTTAATTTAGTTCTTTAGAAAAGTTTCTAGATCCTTGGACTTTATTTTTATAAAAGCGATAGTTTTGTCAAAAAAAGAAGAAGTGTGTACGGGTGTGTGTAAATGTGAAGAAGCTTAGTGCTGTAAAGTCGAGAAGTCGACTACGTGGAAATAAATCAGTCTGTTGCTGTTACCGACGATCCTGAATTTTGCCTAAGAACAACCCCGCTCTACATTGACACTCGTAACAGTAATTGTCGTAAATGTAAGCTCTGTGGAGAAAAATAAAATGCCAATCTCGCTTTCGACTTATTTTTGGATTTGACGTAACCATAACGTACATTTCCCGTCAAGAGAAAACCTTACTAACGCAAGAAGCGACACAATCAAATGTTATCCAAGTTTATATAACACTTCAACATAGATTTCACCTACATCAAAACCTCTCTGTGGTACACCGGTACGTCGCTGACTTATGCATGCGTCCAATCCGTGACAAAATGTTTGTCATCGATGATTTTCTCAGTGAATGTCACAACTCGATTTCGATAACTATTTAGTTTTATGTCACATTATATTAAAGGCAAACAAAACGTTTCAAATACTGTCGGAAACGTATCTCAATTACATAATTTAAACATATTAAAAGGAGTTATCATCTAATTATATAAACATCATCATTTTCTTTTTTTGACCTCGTCGTCTTGCGGCCAGTTTGAGCGTGGGATCGGACGCTATTTTCAATGTAAAAATACGCACTTTGGCGACTTATACTTCAATGTTTTATTCGTATAATGACCACAAATTATTTAAGTCTTTAACGTCTAAACGCACTTGATGTATTGTTCAATACGAGTGAAATGCTGAGTAGTCCAAAATCGTTATGTTACAACCACAGGGGTCAGCAAAATTATTATGTTCTTCAAACGCGAACCGAAGGTCTCATGCCGACTTGGAGAGCTAATTTGCGCATAAAGGAATATCATACATCATACGTTTACAGTAAGTGTAGGATATGAATGCTGGAATCACAGTATCTGACAAAAAGCTTCAAATTTTTGTCATACAGATTGTGGTTTGCATTGGCATCTCATTTCATCGCCAGCTATTACGACACGAAAAAATATAACAGTGAAAAACATAATAGTCAAAAACGACGAATAAATGAATGTAGGAAACAAAAAACCATTTGGTGGTCATATCTCAAACGGAAAATGTATTCGAGCAGAAGCCTTACGATATTTCGCCGATTTAAGACGCCCAAGGTTTTACGTGACGAAGCACTTTCGCTTTAAATGATGACTAAGCACATGTTGACCACCCCTTAAATTCAGCCGTAAATGGAGGCAATGAAAGGAAAAAATTATGGTTAGATTTGTTAGAAATTGGTGTGCTTATCGTTTTATTACAAAAAAAGAATCAAAACGTTACTCACCAGCGCAACAAAACAAATGGCAATGATAGCATCCTTCTTTGCGGTAGACACCCCACTCGATGTCAGATTTGCTGAGTCCGGGTGTGCAATGTTTAACAATCGCTCTCCCATTTTAGAGTCTAGTGTTTTACGAATGTCCTCGAAGAAGTAACAGATGCTAACAGAAATGAGTAGTTCACTCACAAAAGGCGTGCGCGCCACTCGTCGCCCTTCGCTGTATTGAGCAGTCCGCCTGTGTAGTGCGTATCTTCAAGACAATCGAAATTTCTGTGCTTGTGAAAGGCAATCGATACAGATACAGCAGTAATAAACACTTGACAGGATTTTTGAAAAAAAACTTAGTCTTTTAGAGCCTACACCCGAACTTCTAACTCAGATCTACTCTATCGAGACGATGCGATTTGAGACATTATTCGGGGATTCCCCATGCATGGGCACAAGCCTATTCCCAGACAACACGTACTTAATATCCATTGGTGTTAAGTGATGAAACTGACCCCATATCGTGGGAGGTTGTGGGTTGCGACTCAAATTACGCGCTTATTATGTCTGGACCGATCTAGAAACTGTTGTCTAAAATGATCATAAAACACAAAAAGGGTCAAGTAATGCAAAACACGGGTGGTAGTACGCTCTACGCACTTATTTTAAGGGGGGATACATGAAAGGGTTCTTCGTTCGTTATTGCTTTGTTTTGTTCACTTTTAATGGGGCACAAGAGCAGTAGGCGCATAAGGCCGTCACATTGTCCGCCCAACCCTACCTATCGCATGCCGATGCCTTGCACATTCCAGCTCTTCCACCCCGCCTTGCCTCTCTCTGACTTTCGACAGTCCTTATTCAAGTGGTCGTTGGTCTCCCTCTCGCCCTTCCACCTTCTGGTGTCCACCCCAATGCCGTAAAACGGTCTCTCTAGAGTACGTTTCCTAACCAGTTCCACCTTCTTCTTCGTACCTCGCGGCTGTTTTTATTAATCTCTGCCATTTCAACTACTCTCGTGTTTGTCATTATTTACTGCTATCTAATCCTCTGTATCCGTCTTAGGCACTGGCATTTAAAACTTTTCAGTTTACTTTCATTGGTCTTTATGATCTTACATGTTTCACAAACATATAGCAGGACTGGTCGGACTAAAGTCTTGAATAGGCGTCTCTTGGTTCTCCTTCCTATTCCTCTGGCTGTCCACACCTTCCATTGCCCCTGGAATGCACCTCGTACCTTCTGCAGTCTGTTCCTCATATCTTTACTGCCTCCACCTTCCTTGTCTATAATAGCTCCAAGGTACGCAAACCCCTCTATATCTTCCACTTCTTCATCATTCACCACAATGTTCTCCCTATTCCTAACAAACTCACTCCTCAGTGTCTTTCTCTTTCTCGCATTAAGTTTAAGGCCTACTCTGGCTGCTTCCTCCCTCAATCTCCCATTCTTCTCTCGCAAGTCATTAAACGACGCTAGTCATTACGTGACTTGCATGACATGTGAATCTTTTTGCATGATAAAGGAATCTGTGACCAACTTGAATGCCCTTCTCACGTTACGGTAAGATCAGAATTATATCTCATCAAATACAATTATTAATGGCTACTAGCCTGAGGTGAAAGAAAAGGCAACGAAGCGTCCCATCTTACAAAAACTAAGGCTGTAATCTGAAATACTGCTTGCTTATGGTTCAAACTAAAGACGATCTTATCAAGGGCCACCGCAGCCAGAAACAGTTCTATCGTTATCATAATTCTGTCGCATCTCAAGAGTGAATACCTCTTCTTTCCTCACGGTCACTTTGTCAGTTTAGCCGGGTATCCTTTTGAAAAATTATTTCGTTTGCAAGAAGTAAACTATCTGAAAGTGAAGTAAACTTTATCGAGTGAAATGCCACGTTTACCCATACCAGAGCAATTCATCACAGAAGTTAGTTAAAAGCATCACACCGTGAAAAGAACTTATCAAAGTCATTTTAATTTCAGTTGTAAACTAATAGCAATTGGTGAAATTATATTCCCAGTGAGTACGAGAATGTTCTACTTCACATTGTGGTGATATATCTGAACAAATGATATTTTAGAGCATTGAGGAGCAGCCTTAAGGAAATTAATACGAATTAATTTTAAGGACCAAAGCCCGTCAAAGAATCTTACGATGTCTTGTTTCTCGTATATATCACGCCATCTGTCGAATTGTACTATGTTCGACCATAATTTTCCGGACATCTCCCTTCCTTTTTTCCTTAATTGAAAGTGGAATGCGGGAATAAGAGAGCTGGTACAGAACCAAACAAAGGTTTATAAACATGCCAAGCGCCGTAATTTACGTCATTATAATATAAGCAGTGGCGAAAATCCTAAAAGAGGAAACGAAATGGACTGTCCGAGTTTTGACGGTTTTCACGCTCAGTTAGGTTGCAAGCTTACGTGCGGTAATAAAAAATCAAAGACAGCTATCACTCGTGTAGCATATATAGTTTCGTGTTCAAAAACAAGACAGAAAAAAAACAGGACTCATGAAAAATATAGCCAAAATGGCATAGCTATTAAAATTCAAAATAATCATAACGGTGTCAGAGCGTTAAGTTAAGTTAAGCTGTTTGTTTTCTTCTTGTCATGTGAAAAAACTCGAGTATTGTTATGAGCTTCAATTCGGCCGGATTTCACTAAACATTTCATTTTTAGATTCTGTTTGAGACTAAAAAAACTTCAGGCTAGAGAGATAAATTCGACCTGACGAACTCTTTCAGTTTGTAAACTATTGCAGATTGTGAACTTTGATGGCTTGACATTTTTGACAGCTTTAGTCTCGTTCAACCAATCAGATTATTTGAAACATTTTAACAAGGATTCTGATTGTCTTAGTGTAGCGTGTTTCATGAGAGTATGGAACATGCTGACGACGCTGTTGTTCGCTTTAGGAATAAAGTTTTTTTAAAAAAAATTGAATTTAACGGATTCTTTATTACAAAACAAATAGAGAACCTCGACTGGCTCTGTTATGTTGTAAAGCACTCAGGAAGCGGCTAGAACACTCAAGAAGTGGGGAGAAACACTCAACTACGTCGACTACGTCTCGTGTTTCTCCCTAAACTTCTTTCGTGCTCTAGCCGCTTCCTGCGTGCTTTACAACAGAACAGGGTGATCGTCTAAGGACAATAAAAAAAAATACATGGATTCGAGGATTTTTTGTTTCTTGCTTTTATTTTTAATTTGCTTGATAAATATGATAAATATTACGTCCAAATTTCCATTCGCTTTAATTGCTTGTACAAGAATTGAATCATTTGTAACTCATTTCAGAATTTCTAATATTCACCTGAATATTTTAAGTACGTATATAATATGCAGCGCGATCGTGTCCATATCGTAAGGAAAAGTAAGCTTAACATCCAAGGCCGCTAACCTTGCAAATCTCTACGAAGAACGCAAATCCAGGCCACTTTTAATAATTTTTCATTATCCTAGGAAGTCTCGCAGTGTCTATAAATATGACTTTCCAACAGTTCAATAATGTCTTTCCTTTGTATTGTAGATTTTTGCAATACTTTGATAAACTCTAATACGGTTAGATTAGGCCTTTTAGCTTCCAGGCTTTCTAAAAGCTTTTCAGAAGGACTTCCTGACCTACACGAGTGAAGTTCCTTCTCAAATTCCCAAATGTCCTCTTCCTCAAACTTAAACTCTGACGCTACATCCTTGTAGTTGCCCTTCTTGGTGTTTTCCAGCTTTTTGTCCAGTCGTTTCCATACTTTTTCATATGTCTCTAGTGAACAAGACTTCAAATCTTTCATGCAAACGAGTACTGCAAAAAGAAAGGAAAGAAGGAGAGATTGAATAAGAACTTTAGCATTAGAAAAAGTTCATTCACTGTGCTATCCGTCTCGACAAATACTATTGGAATGAATATATCAAATATCGATAGCTATACTTAAAGAAAAGAAAAATCGCGCGCTTAGTCTGTTACTTCCAGGCTAATTATAATTCTAAGTAAAAACTAAATTTTTTTCTTAGCTAAATAAATTCTTAATGTAAGTACCAACCTCCAAGTGGGTCAACATTTGTCAGTGTTGTAATGTTATCCAATAAAACGCTTTCTGTGTGTTCATCGTGTTCAGCGTCCCTTGATCTGGAGAACGGTCGACAACGCACCCATTTAAAAAAGGTCGCTATCGTTTTTATCTTAACGATGCAAGCAACAAGACTCAAACTTGCCAAAATACCAATAACTGCCTTGATACTTCGACTAATTTCTTCACGGCTGTTGATTGAAACAGATATGGGTCTCTTCGTGTCAACGCTCAGAGTTGTTTTACTTTTGCCATGACCTTCATCGGAAGTCTTATTTCTTCGTCGCTGAAACGCAATTGACGTCTCGAAAAAAGAAGTGAATGCAGCACTTGCAATTACGGTATTGCTGCTAGCGAATGATCGATGTGTTGTCGATGAAGACCGTTGTGTCGTTTTGTCCGAAGATTTCAGTTTATTTGTTCTTCGCTCTGCTGTAGACTTTCGTTGTGGAGTCGTCGGGCTTGGAGTTAGTTTGATCATCATGTTTATCCTTTGACAGTCACTGTCTGTCTTTCTTAGTTTGCATCTTCTATGCCGTGGGAGTCCTTGAGCTTTACATTGGTCCTCAAATTCGTCTTTACCGTCCCCACAGCAGCCAGAGCACGGCTCGCAATCGTATATAAGACCGTCAACGACCTCTTTCTCGTAATAACCATGTTTACAAGAACCACAACGGCTGTTCTCAGTCCTAGAGCAGTTCCGAGTCACTGTGCGTCCGGCAGAGCATAAGGAACACGGTGTACACTGTTCTTTCCCATATGTATCTGAATAGGTTCCCTCCCTGCACGCAACACAGTGCAAGAGTGTTCCATTCTTGGCGACAGTTCCACAGGCAATTGATGGTTCCATTCCATCTGGACAATCAATACAAGGGGCGCATTTGTCTTTTTCTCCCGCTTTATTGCTTTGGTAGGTGATTTCACCATCTTGGCAGGCAGTGCAACTTCCTATGCGTACTTGAAGCTAAAAGAACCAAAAAAACGCGATAATAATAAATTGCTTAATCACCGACTATCCTAAAGCCGTTTGGCCTCGTTTTACAAATTGCTCCTCATTCTTTAGATAGACAGCAGCGTTCTCCAAGTAGTCATAAAAACAGCGAAGTTCTATCAGACTCCCTGCCAGGTAAGTTTTGCAGGAGGAAAAATATTTTGGATTCCATTTGGGTGATGTAAGACTCTATCATGAGATTCCTGTGTTATTCGTGAGTGTTCTAGAATATACGTCACAGGTGATGAAAAAGTCTGTAGCCTCCGCTGATGCCCTCGTCGCAATACGCTTAGATTGCAATAGTCGAGCGGTACAGAATAAAATCATATAAAATGCCGCCATTGATGGCTATAGCCCCGATTGAAAGCACATATTGAGGCATCCTTTCACATAAAGGGCATGACTGATCATGAAATTTTCAAATATTGAATGCTTCTGAAACAAACTAAACACGAACTTACCATCGCAACTAGAATTACTGTGGTAGTAAAAATTCTGTCGTAACCCATCTGTCGCACCTCATTTTCCTCATCGCACGTCTTTTCTCCGTAGACTCTTGAATTAACCAGGCATTTTTCTTGAGATTGCGTCAGTTCAAAGTGGCAAACCTCCTAAAAGAAAAGTAAACTTCACCGTGATGTTGAATTAAACGAAAGCACTGCGCGTCTCAATGTCACGTAGATCGACAACAATATCTTATCACGGAATTCAACAGAGCATGATACAGTAAAAACACAGAGCGAAGTCATTTGAATTCACCTCTTTGTTTAGTCGTGATAAATAATTCATTATTTCAGCGGATAAATTCTTTCTCGCTCCGACTTCAAGTTCTGTTAGGTAAAACTGGCAAAATCAAGCTGCGAGTCACTGATATTTGCTGACAAGACAAACGAAAAGTAGATTAAACCGGTTTCTGATGACGTAATCTGAGGAATCATCAATTGCGAGCGCGTCATATTTATATTTAGCTGAAAATTTCAACAAAGGGACTGTCAACTGTTTTTGAAACCTTACAGCCTTTGCTATTGAGTTTCATACATTCTTTTCAATTCTTGAATATTGCTAACACCAAAAGATCTCGAACTTTCTTTCTTTATATATATTCAGTGATTAGATTTTTAAGTTTGTCGTGCGTTTAGTAACATTTCCTTACTAATATTGTCCATACTGTCGTTGTTATTAATGGATAATTCAACTTCTTATAATGAACTTATTTCACTAACTCTTAATCGATTAAGAAAGAATTGGTCTCTTTTTAAGAGCTTGATATCGATTTTAATTGTCTTATGGTCGAAGGCCACTTATTCTTTAATGACTGCACTCGTTACGAATTGTAGACACTAGATTGTAAATCGTTGACCCTAAAAAGCGTAAGCAATGAACGATGTGACCCAACAGCTTTTTGGGTACACATGAACATGATGGCCACAATTAGTTGCACGTGGTAAATAATATAAGCCATTCACGCTTTTCTGAAAGAAGGGAATTGTCGTTAACAAAGATCCTTATGAATAATGAAAATATAAGAATTGATTATGTAATTGTACAAACATTTCCCATAACTCCGTTGAGTTTCATAGTTCAAGGATAATACTTTTTAGATGTCAATGTTCTTGTGTTGAGTGTATCAGGACTCGCTACAAAGAAAAAACCCCATCTAAGTCTTAAAGCTCTGGATTCGTATAAATATAATTTGTTGTTTGGCATTCTATTTCTCGTTGCGTCGACTAGATCCTACTTACTAATTACTGACTTGATTTGATTGCAATCATTTGTTTGTCACCTTTCTTTTGTAGACAGTGTCGCCAAAATTGGATCGGATATATTTAGTTGGACCGTAAACTTTGCCTGAGGAGAGGTTTCTTGGGTTAAGCCGATTTAGAGAAGGATTCCGTCATAGTAAGTCATGACTGGAGAAACTTTAAAATCATAGGGTACCTTAGTAACAGTTTAATCCTCGAGCAGAATTTGTTCCCCTCTCCGTTCTGTTGTTATACGGATGTCAAACTTATAATAACAGCCATAAGTCTTCACCGTCTATAACATAAACGTTAGAGACTTTGTCGACTTGTTGTTGGCACTCGGCCTCTACAACGAAAAAAGTTCACGTTTTGGTGTGTAGTATCGCTGAGTATTTCTACGAGTTGTGCGGTATTTTGACGAGCCCGTAGGGCAAGTCAAAATACAAACAACAAGGGATATTTGTACTCCATTTGCGCGTTATTTGTACTATACTTTGTGCAGTTGGATAATAAAACAAAATACCTTATTCTGGAGATAAAAATAATGATAATAGAAAAATACCTCTTGAAATGGGAATCGTAAGGTTATCCCTGAGCGTGACAATTCCCATAAATAAAAATCGTAAATGACGTATACAATATAAGAACTATCTACAAGCTATGATGAAATGCAATCTCAATTAGTTTCCAGGTTAAAAGTTGTAAAACATATTTACATGCTAATTTAAGAAATATTCTAAAATTTAGTTAACGTCCATAAAAGTCTTCGGTCTTGCTCTAAATAGAGTCAGTGATCCAGCCTGCACACTAAGCTGACTATTCCACGGTATATTGTCCGGACAGAGAGCGAATTCCTAAAACAGTTTGGGTTAGCTACTTTTACATCAAGTTTAAAGTTGTGGTTGGCTCTAGTCCGAGTATTCTATGTAAACTAAAAAAAATTGAAAATTTGAGACTATTTTGTAACATTGGGTGAGAGATAAAAAATTGTCTTTATTTCTCAAAAGTTTTCCAATTTAGAAACCGACAACAGTCTTCTTAATTCGTGTCTCCGCTTTTCTGCTTTAAGCTAACCGAGAAGCTTTTCTCTGAACTTTTTCTATGGATTCAATATCTTTAATCAGGTACGGGCCCCAAACAAGTGCTGCGTCGTCTATTAGAGGTCTGACCAGTGCCTCATAAAGGCAAATTTCTATCAATCTGGGTGAAAGCGATGATGATGTTTAAATCCATATAAACAGGACCTATTTTAACGAGCAAAGCGCAAACTATGATTTACGTAACTCTTTTTCGTAACTCTTTTTGTAAACTGACACTGCCAAGGCCGCGTACTAATTACTTAAAACGTAGTTTTAGTTACAGCGGTGCCCTTTTGTGGAACTCATTACCTGAGAATGTCAGAGAAATCAAATCAATAGGTAAATTTAAAAAGCGAATTAATTGTGTATTTGAGTCATTGGATTCTCACTCGGAAATCTCGTAAAACAGTGTATTGATAGTTTAACCAATTTAACATTGAAAATAGATACATTGAGTCGCTGTTGTTTTTACTGAAGCTTTTTTACCAAGTTTAAATAAAGATATTACTAACTCACGTAAAATGAAATAAAAAACTGTGTAAACAAACCTATCTTAACTTAACAATAACACAACTCAAATAACGATAACAGCATGAATAAGAGCGAAAACTGCATCGAAAAGGCTCACACAAGCAATCAAATGCTGATCATTAACTTAGCGTTCTCAAACAGTCAGTTTTTGTTGATATAGGAACTCACCAGGCCTGAGTTCCTCTTGTGATAAAGTTGGCTTCTGCTCGATCTGTCCCAATGGAAACTGGGCTGAATTCTCTGATTTTGCCCACCTGAGGGAACTAGGCCGGCAGAACCATCCATGACGAGTCATCGCTATTATTAGAGCAAACAACAATGTAATTCCAGGCGCTCCGCCTACTCCGGAAAGAATAAGGAGCACTTCATTTCCACTCCCCTCTTTCAGAGACTCTGTCGATTTGGTGGTGGTTATGGATTGGTCGATCCTAGATCTAGGAAATTTGACCGAGTAAGTGCTGGTGATGTAACCTTTTACCCTTCCTGGGTTGGAAAGGGTGTCGGTGTATCTCTTTGCGATGACAACTGAACGAGAGCCCAGAGAATCGTCGTTCCATTTGTCGCCGGGGTATTTGTGGTGTGCACATAATTACAGGGCGATGAACGCCTTGCGCACCTCTTCAGATAATTTCCGCTGCACTCTTCTGGAAGTTCATTTTTACCTTCAAGGCAACAATCCGAGCAAGGCCAACAAGCAAAACTAAACGGAAAAGAATAAAGTCCTTTCTGGCACTCTGTGCTGCACCGAGTGTTCGAGACCAGGGTGCAGTTCTTGACCAGTGTTTTCCCTGTGGAGCATATTGTGCACGCCATGCACTGCGCTTTATCATATTTTCCTGAGTATGTTTTACCCGGTTGGCACGAAACACAGTGAACGGGTGTCCCGTATTTTACTGATGTACCACATGGCACAGAAATCTCTGGTCCTGGTTTGCACGGAAAGTCTCCTCCGACACCGCAGATCTATACGAGACAATGATAAAAAAACATATACCTATAGTTAAATCAATTGCAGTTATCGTTTTTAAAGTAGGTACTAGATGACCCAAATCGTATCTATCACGGGAGAGCCTAAATCGTATTCATCTATCGATGTTGTGAAACTGCTATAATCCAGCTGAATGTAACTGAATGTATTCATTTGTTCTTTATCAAACGAGGGTCTCCAGTGTTTCTGTATGAATGTCGAGATGATGTAACTACACATCTAAAAAATTGTTTTTTGTCGCGTGCAAACCTGAAAGAATACGCGGTTATCCTGCAAAGGGCTGGCCTTGACCGTTCGTCTCATGAAGAAGTGAAAACATTACGTGTTTGTGCTCGCCATCGCCATGGTATGGGCAAGTACTGGAGGCCTTCAAAGCTGTGTTAGCATCCAAGGCACAAAGGACCACTTACCAGCGTCAAAAGTCTTGACGTGATCAACCCTGGACGGTTTTTTCCTGCGGCATTCCAGGTCCTATTTCTTTAGTATGTTTCCTGGCTTGTTTAATTTACCAGCGCGTGAAGGGCTTATATGGTTCGTGATATTTCAAAAGGTTTTTCTGTAGGGAATCTGTAGGCATACAGACTTAAAATCTGTAATTTGACGCTTTTACCAGGTGCATCTCTATATGCCGTCATGAGCGCAGATAGTTCTTCACTAAGATCGTCTTCTCATGCTATTGCACTCGACTTGGATAGCGCCTGAAATAAATCCCCTTTTGCGTTCGGGGCTACCACCTCACAAACCCGAAGACAACCTTGAAGAGCTTTTTCCTGGCTTTTCTGGCGATCGAGTTCGGTAAAATTTTCCCATGATGTCTTTAGGCGAGATGTTAAGGGGGAGAAGTTGTCTCCAGACGAACTTGATATCGCTAATTTTGACATTGCCTTGTTCTACAAATGAAGAATTTCAGCATCTCGAGGAGCGATAAAAGGCTCTTCTTCGTCGGAGCTACCACTGCCTTGTACATTCATTGCACTAAGGGTCCAGGCTGGATCTTGAGGACTCGTGAAGATCGTCTTAGGCGTTGCTGCAAAACCTGGACTCGGCTCAGCGTAGTGTATAGTCTTCAGAGGCTCTGTGTCACAAACGAACTATTTCAATTTGTATTTATTAATGTTGCTTAGCCTTGTAATCAAATTAAAACTTCATTTCTTACTCACAGAGAAGATTAAGTGACCATATAATGAATGTTGTGTACTGTCATGAAACACCTATAAGTTCTCAGCCCGTACTTCCTCAGAAAAGATATTTCTACAATTTAAGCATACCTTGACTTGTACGTTTTTTCAGCAGCATGTGTTTTTGTACATTCCTCTTCAAGAGTAAACAATGTAGAATTCGTATCTGCTTTATGTTCTTTACGACAGGGTGAACATATAGCTAATGGAAGATAAAAGAAGAGTAATCAAAAATACCCTATAAGACAAGCACTGTAAAAAAAGAAAACTT